TGATGCTGCTGAAGATGCAAAAATATACAACAGAGATAAAATTCGGTAGCTTTGTGTACAAAATAAATCTTCTGTGAGTACCAACAACTTGGAAAACAATTGAAATATACAATAATTGCATTCAAAAGTCTTCTTGATTTAATGTAAATACATCATTCAGTGAATTTATGTGAACTATCTTTTTATATTGAAGCTCATTTTTTTTCCTTCTTGAATATATGGCAATTTTATTAACGTCATCAGAGTGTTTGTTCGAAAATTCGGTAACTAAATACGTTAAAGGTTCATTTTTATTTTTAAACTCAAAAAATTACTTTTCATTTTTAAAAAAAAACACAAAACATTGTTTTTTAATAAATTTTTTAAAAGAAAAAAAAATAACGACACTTTTTTTATTGAGATTCCATTACATATTGATGCATTTTTTTTTGTCAATGAATTTTTAATATTTGCCCAATTTCATGAAAAAAATATTTTTTTCACTGCATGATTGGATACCAATTGAATTTATTGATGTTCATATCGTGAATTTCATTTGCTATTGGAAATATTTTGGCTACATATTGATGCATAAAAGCCCGATACTTCTTGTAATAAAAATGCGTATATAATTAATCAACTTATTCGTTACATTTAGTGAGGAAAATTGTAGAATAGATTCGTTAACACAGCTTCCTCACTGCTCGAAATTACATTATATCCGGTTCATTTTATTTTAACTAATTTTCCATCTCTGGTATTCGTAACTCTCTAGGGTATACCGCCTGCGGGTTGACTAGCAAAAAGTCGAATCTCCGAACAGCGAACCTTGTTACCAATGACAATTGATGTCGATGAAGTCCCAGGAAAATTGGCCAGCAAGCATTACAGAAGCGCGATTTTCAAGTTGGATGAATGTTGCATCGAGCGGAAAAAAACTAATAGCACGCTAGTAATTTGCCATATGACTTTAATGTTAAAAAAAAATCAGATAAACTTAACGCTGAAAATTCCACACGCATTCTATTCTCCGACTTTAAAACACAAACAGTTCTAAAAAGAAAAATATGCTGAGAATACCTTTTACGCTTTTACAGAAATTTTCACATAAAAAATTTTTCTTTTACATGCTATAGCTCAATGAATTGCCTCTATACCTTTTGGTATATCGTGAATCCTACCCTTACTTTTTTCCACATTGCTTAACGCGCCGTTGCGCATTCTTTCACCCTCGTTTTGCCCAAGAATCGCAATCCACCCATATAACGAGCTTCCTTTTCCTTGCATATAACGGAATTTCTTTTCGAAATTCCTTTACATGCATACTTGATTCTCATGATGCACTTCTTTATTTATTACTGCCACTTTCATCTTTTGCAAAAATTTGTAAATAAAATAGTCTTTGAATTAAAAAGATCAATCATCATTTAAAGTCTATCAAATAAATGTGTTATTAAATTCCCGAGATAGAATTTAAAATATTGTTTTAACTTCAAAGTCTTCAATGACAACTTTGAAATTAAAAGTTAAATTACAAGAATATCATTATGCATTTAATCTAAGTCCATTTCCGACTTCAATTTTGTTGTTTTGTCTGATTTAAAAAAGTTGAGATTAAAAATGGATCTTACAACACTTATTGTGAACCTCAAAAATATATCAATGCTATGCAAACAATGTTATAGAAATTTATGATGACATTAATGACTAAAATAAGATTTTTAAATCAAGACATTAAAATCTTCGATAAAGTTGATGTTTCCCAAAATGGCATTAAATTATAGGCGGTAATTAGACCATCAAAGGAATTGAAGATTTTGAAGTTGAGTCTGAATTTTAAATTAAGTCTCGGGCTATAAATTATTTTCCTCCTTTTCCTGTTAGTTAACATTACCTATAATACGTAATAACAGGTTATTAATAATGCTTGAATAAAATTGAAGTTTGCTTGTCATTCTTGTTAGGTTATAGAACATTTTAATGTGTTGGAAAATAAATAATTCAATGCTGAAGTCACTTTTCTATTTTTGTTGCTTTTATTTTTATGAGTCGACAACTTTCTATAACAAGCAATATACTCTCAGTTTTTTTTCTCTTCTATTTGTAAGTTGTATTACTATCGGTAGCAAACTATAGTTTAACAGATCTATTTTTTCGTTTATTTTGAAATAATCAGTTTTATTGAAATTGTTTTTTGTAAAAGAAATGCTTTATTTGATAAATTGAGTGAAAATATCAATTGCGACTGGCGTTAAATTATTTATTCTTTTGAAAAATTTTTGATATCAATGTAAGAGAATTTAATCAATGAGTTTGCATTTTTTTAATGTTTTATTAAACTTCTGGAAAGTTATAAAGAAATTCTTTCGTTTGAATGAAAATACATTGCAAAAAATTCACAAACACTAACTTTTTTTTACAAAGACAGAAGCATTTTAACGAAAATACTTCTTCTAATTATTTTTCTTCATAGACAAAGGTTGAATAGAATTTTTTGGCTGTGAAATAATCGTCATTCAGTTCAATAGGAACTTAAACTTCGATAACACTTGAAAATTCAAGTCCCCAAACTTGAAAATAAATTTTTGCAAATTAGCTTTTATGATAAACTTTCATCGACATGCACTCATTGCCCAGTTTGACAAGTTTTCTAGACAAGTTGAGAGTCATATATGCCACAACAATGCACCAAGTTCTGCAGAAGTTGAGTTCCAGCTATATACGAAATTTCTCCTTTTGCGGACTCGTTCCAAATACTCCTTCTTTCGCCCTTCGAAAATTCAAAGAGATTTCGCAAAAGTGAGTGAATGAAGAGAGAAATACCACAAGTTTTCCTGTTTGCACCAACTCACAGTCGACAGCATACTTCCGTTCTTGTAAATCGAAGAAAAACGGCTTTTGGCGATTGTTGAAGCGAGAGCAGTGCTCACGATCGAGTGCGGATATTTAGGTACTTTAGAATAAACCATGCAACCATTGCGCAGTAAGGAAAAAATATAAAGAGAGATTTAAAACGCATTATTTCCAGAAGAAAAATTTCACTCTCAGATACAGAGACTTTTTTTTAGACATTTATTATTTTCGTTGGGAAGAGAAAAGCGAATATTAAAAAACGAAATTTCAACAAGCATAAAGTAGTAGCATGTGTACGCCGTACAAGTAAACGAACTCATCATTTTTCAAGTATACCTTCACTTACAACATATAGCCTTTGTGTCAGAATCTAGATGGTAGAATGAAAAAAAAAAATAATATTTTATGTCGACATTCTAATGAGATTTTGAATTATACTGCACTTACTTAACCTGAATTAACGTACACTCACACTCCCACTGCTCATGGGTTGCGATTTATTTGCATCTCTGTCTACGATATAGCGTGGAGCATTCAAAATGTTCAAGATTACACTTTACCAAGCTCAGTTACGTTATAATAGAAGTACTCAATCACAAAATTAGCTTAAATAATGCGAAAATACATATTTGTTAACAGAAGTCAAATACCGTTTGTTTACTAAATAATAGTAAACAATTCTACTTTTATAACTACTCTTTTATTATTAGAAAATCTTGAGAAAAAAAATTTAAATATCTTTTAAAACGTTTCATACAAGTTTCTACAAAAGTTCTCGAGCAAACTTTTCTTTTCTTACATTCAGCGCGTGCAAAAAACTTTAGAAGATAAGATTATACTTTCATTATTCATCGATTTTTCCAAGTTGAAATTTTTTTAACTGCCACCTAGCTCACATAGATTCATATACGCCAACAAATGTAGATGAAATCACTGTTTAACAACGCAATTTCATGAAATCCACGTGTATATAACATTTACGTATTTATGTTGAACAAGAAAAGCGACAGAAAATAAAAAATATCAAAGCAACGATAAAAAGGACACGAAAGTGCGGTAAAAGCAGCCAACATGATTGCTTCAATATTGCCCGATGTCACGCGATGTGGCAACGTCCACGTCTGCTTGGAGCAACTCACTCAAGAGAGTGTGAGAGAGAGTTTGTGCTCACAAGTGTGGGGTTTATAGTGGCCTGGCACAATGTGTGCTGTTATTAAGCCATCTCTTACCAGTTATATCCTTTCGGTTGAGTCGAGTGCCAGCTAGAGAACTTGAATTTTACCATGGGGCAAACCGTCACCAGATCTATGTATACACTGTTCACCGCAGAAAGCGAGAGAGCTAGAAATGAAAATGTTAGAGAGCTATGAACGCGACGTCTGACCGCATCTAAGACGTTACTACTTGCTTACTAAAAGCTGCGACTTATGATATTATTACTTGGGAATTCGACGTACAAGCAGAGTTGTAAAATTTTTATATCATATTAATGTCCTCTAGAGACATTTTTTCCACCAATAAAATTTTATTCTCACGCTTATTGTAAATAATAACTATTAGTCATTGCTTTTATTCCCTATTGTACCATTCTGAATTGCTCTTTCAATTTGACCTCTATTGCCACAGAAAATAGGTCACTTCAACTGATAGTTATTCTTAATTCAATTAAAAAATTTTTTGTCGCGAAATAAACTTTAAATTATCCATAGTTTTTTTTTTTATTCTTTAATCAATAATTTATAGGAAAATTATTTTTACTTCTTTTCATAATATGCTAATATTTTGTCTAAAGTAATAAATAGTCAGCTGTCAAGCTTCAATGTAAAAAAGACTCTCAGTGAAATCATTCAAAATTAAAAATTTTAACATAAACGTTATTTAGCTAGAGAGTAAAATAATCAAAAATGTACCGAGTTTGAAGATGAGATGGGTTTGATTTATGATTCTTTATAACCTTACATGATGAATTGCATAAAGTTTTAATTTCCATAATTTTATAAAAGTGTTGTTTTTTGCTTCATAAGTATTCTAGTGAAGTACAATAAATGAAAAATATATTAAAAAATACTTTAATATGAAATTTGAAGTAATTAATGTTTTATATATCACCAACTTCGTTTGTTCAAAAAAATTTCATTTTACTAAAATTTTCAATTAATTTCCCCAAGTATCTTTCGAGCAGCTTTGTTTTAGAGAACACAGTGAGTGTAATGTCAAAGCAATTCACTTGATCCTACCATTGACTTCTTATGCATTGTTATCGACAAGTATTGTTGAATGTTGCCTGCTCCATGAATCACAACACATCAACTACAACCTACTGTTTCGAATCTGTCCACTTGACTTCTGGAAATCTAGTTACATTCGACGGCATTTCCATATTAATGTGGCTTAAAGTATTGTTCCAACTTATTAAATCAATCAAAGAAAAATATTTTCACTAACAAATGTACTTGATGAAAGATTAATTTATGTTTAGTTTCAACGTGACATGTAATTATTGTTTATCTGGAATGAAAAAAAATAAAAATAAAAGACAAAGCAACTCGTAGACTTCCTTGAAACAATTACCCACACATTTTAGGTTTCCATCCACCATTCCGGACTTCTCATCTGCTTAGAAGCTCATTTACGAGCCCAAAGAGCAGCGCTGTGCTCGACACAGTAATTTACCTGCGCATAAAAGTAATAAATGAGTTGTAAAGTTTAATACAATGTGATACACTCAATCAAAATATAAGACTTAATATCGTTAAAGTTCATAGCTAATATTAATCTGTTAATAATGCTCATAAAAATGTATTATATCGTTAAACGACTAAAGACGTTATTTAAATATTACAGCTAATTAGTTAAATAACTTTTACTTCTTATTATTACAAAATGTCATTCTTATCCATTTCTTAAATTACATTCAACGGAAAATAAAAAGTAATAACTATATTAACATTAAGACTCATAATTAAAAATGTTTCGTTTATTAGAAAAAACTCTATTACTTAAAAAGCAGTGTAGACATGAATTTTAAGAATGAAAAGAAAAAAAAATGAAGCCACTATAATAGCAACAGAAGATTACATTTTTTTTAGTAGCTACTATTTTTTAATCAAGTTAAGAATAAAATGCAATCATTTATGTGAGTATTCTAGTATTTTGAATAAACATATTAATAAAGATAACATGTAATAAACTTAACCAAAATTTACTCAAATCAATAAGCAATTTCTACGATGAATTTAGCGAAATTCAATGATGCAATAAACGATGTAACAAGTTTGTCAAGTATTGGTGTATATGGATTTAATGGATTCCGAATTGTTTGAAAGATAAGCCACTGAAATTTGATGTGCCCGCATGCGTTTGGATGTAGCACATGAATACCCCTGACACGTCTCAGTCTCTTTCAACTCTCCTCTTCGCGTTGACAATCCCAGATTATCGTGTTCCACGATTTCGGTTTCTATTAATACTCTAGCGAACTCAAACGGGACAACGTATCACGTCGAGACGACTCGATCCACAGTTGATGAGTACAATCCTCTTAATGTTCGCAGTTTCAAGCCAACGAGAGTAGTACTTGCAAGATATGAAACTTCTAGCCAGAAATGAAATTACCTTAGCTGATAATCAGCAACTTGACGACATCTCTACGACGATGCTTGTCACTTTTTACGATTAAATCGACAATAAAATTTACATTTTTCCTTACTACGTATCTTTATTTCAAAATCTTATCGTGATATTTATTTTATTACCACGAAATATTTAATGAAAGTTACGTAGCAATTCTGTACTTTCAATTTTTTCCTTCGATAACGATAAAATTACTTAACGACTCAGCTGTTTGCTTTGTTAACAAATCGATTCCCTCCATTTCCACAAATACACGAAAAATATTATGAAGCCAATAAATTGATTCGAAAAGAGGAGGTATGCAATAAACGTATGAATTTTTTTTATACTCGTGTCTATTCGTTCTATGCTAGTCCACAGTTTTTTTTTGATCGATCAATGTATTTAATAGACAAAACATAGCATATTTGGAATACTAGTTGTTGTACAAAAACATATAGATCTATATAACTTAATTGTTAATTGTATTTTTTAGAATTAAATTGAACGAATAATTCGTTAAAAGAATGAATGATTGGTACCTAATTCCAATGATTATTTATCAAAAATTAATAACGGATTATTCGAGATTAAATATTATAATAGAAAATAAAAATGTTTAATTAAAAGTTTATGTAGCATATATGCATACTTTATGAAGATCGAAATCGTTGAAGCAAAAATTATTTCAAAATTATATATTCGGTGAATTTTTTGGGGGATTAAATTTTAATTGAATTAAATGAAGAGAAATTTTATTTTCCAACGAAAATTTAATACAATCAATTAAGTAATTTATTTTAAAATTTATTTCTAATATTAATTAAGAAAATATTCAATAACAGAATAATTTTATATTTATCATTATGCGTATTTTCAATTATCAAAAAAGTAATTTCAGTGTAATATTGAAAAATTTTTATGTGCATTCAAATGCAATATCCTGATATATTTTGTTTGAGAAAAGTATTTAGTACCATTTAAATAAAATATCACTGTTGGAAATTTTTCGATTAAAATTTAAAACATCGAGCTAATAGGAGTTTAATTAAATAAAATTAATGTTTTCCAAATCAAAGTTATAATAAATAACATTCAAATTACTTTCTGGACTAATTGTAAATCGTAAATTATCAAAATTTCATACTGAGAGAAAAATGAACTAAACAAGTAATATTTTTTCAACTGAAAAAATTAAAACTGAATAGTGGCAATGAACGATTTTTTTAGAATTGACATGGTATCATTTTTATAGATTTAGTTCTGATGATTAATTAAAAAAAATTCTTTTTTAATAAAGTCATTAAAGCATTACCTTATTCTAATTTTTTATTGGCTTTATTTTTTTTTTTTAAGATCCTTTGTGTCTCAGGAAGAAAAAGTAAATCTTATGTGTCACTTGTATTTGAACTTATCATAATTCAAGCAAAATTTTGTTAAATTTAATGGAATATTCTATTCTAATTATTTCAAATGATTTTTATTGATTACATGAACATTTTTCTGCATAGTGAAAATTTTTTTCTCAGTGCATAACAAGTGAAGTTTGATAAACACTGAAAATTTTGACAAACGACAAATCCCGATTATGTCTAATATTTCATCTTCGTGGGGAATCTGATTGAATGTGGCTAGTTAAACGAATCAATTCTCTTGAGATGTTTAAATACATTTTCTGTGACACATTGGCTGTAATAGTCAATTTTTCACCAGTTCCGAACCAATTACTTTTTCCCGGAGGTGCAAAGTCCCGCCGGAAGTAGCTAGGGGTGCTGACGGCAATGGAGTATTTCCAACGTCACTGTAGGTGCTCTCATTTTCTCACCCTATTCTAGATTCGTTTCCGTAGTTCAGTTCATAGTTAAAAGCAATCAAATTAAACTTTTTCCACTATCAATTGTACTTTTTACAAAATCCCTCAAGCAGTGAATTCATAACAAGTGAATGCAGAATTTTTTGAAACCATTTATCTTTTTAATATTTATTGATTAATTTTAATTAACTCTACTAATTAATACTATTAATAATTGAGTTTTTCTTCTGTTAATAATTATTACAGATTCCCTTAGTTCCTTTTTCTCCGCCATTAGATACAAAAATGGTTTCTAGGACGCCGCCGGAAGCACTTTCAGCATCGGAAGCTAAACATCGATCGCTTTTCCAGCTGGCCAAAGGTGCAATGGGAACGAGGAGGCAGCAGACATTACCTGAAGAAGGTTCAGAGGTTGAGGAACTATCTCCTCAATCAGGAATAGATTAAGTTGAAGTTCCGGAAACGAGGAAGCTAGGGAGCACCTCCACTTCCGCAGTAAGGGACTACTCTCTTCGATAATAATTTCCTGTGGTGATCACGTTTGACTTTGCAGTTTGCATGCTTGATATTTTCCACAAACTCGATCATATTTGTGCACATACATTCACTATGTATATCAGTTTTGTTTAATCCTATTTCTAGTTCGTAATTCGTCCGAGTTATAAGCTATAAGTAACGGCTAAATTAACATCTTGGTGTATCCTGAAAGCGTCATCTGCTATCTATGGGTCGTTAACTAAGCGAATCGTGAAGATGTAAACCGACAACACTGTCGTTCGTTACTATACACCAAACTATCAACTGTCCTAGTATAGATATGTTTTGCTTGGTTAAAATGCTTCATACACAAGCTTAAGTCATAAGCTATAGCTTTTATTACGGAAATAAACTACCATCTCATCATGGTCTTCAAAATTTTATGTATAAACTTTCTATTAAAAATTTCGTTTAACATTACATAGATTTTAATAACTGGGTACATTGAAAATTACACTGAAAATTTTGTGAAAATAATTTCTTTTTCTTTTGGAAAACTATTGACAATAAAAAACAATATCAACTCTAGAAATGCAGAATTAATACTCTGGAATATATGTGCCATACAAAAGGGCAATATTCATTTTAAAGTAGCAACAATTCACTCTTTTTTTTTAACTGTAAATAAAATTATAATTCGAAATGATGAATAAAAGAGAACTTCATCCAACATTCGTTATCATTTGGTTCATTCTTTTCGAATTTTTGGGAAAGAAAATGTTTATGATGGCAGTTCTTAAACTACTGCACAATAAAACTTCTGTATGAAGATTAATAGAATAAAATGTTGACCACATAAAATTCTTGGTGGTTTTGAATAATTACATAGTTCAGAAAGTATTTGCAATAAATTGTCAAATTTTCATAGTCAGAGATATTTTAACTAAATATTTTAGCACCAAAGGGTGTATATGAAGTTATCGGATAAAAGGTTACAAGTAGTGTGAGTCTAAAATCAAGTTTATGCGGTAATTTCTCTTGGAGATATCGATTATGAAAGTCACTAGTGGAGTCGAGATAATAACTATCGAATGAAAAATATCTTTCATATTTCTACATATTCGTTAGTATACAATACTCTACTCAACCTCTAAGAAATAAACACATTTTTTTTTCTAATTTACTGTTTTAATATCCTCTAAGGTCTACTTTCCTATAAAAATAAAAAGAGCTTCCATAAAATCCAAAGTCCAATTTCGTTTTATTTTGTAAGAAAAAAAAACGTCTTTTCTTCCGTAAATAGCTAACAATCATTTACAACTTTGTTTAAACAAAAATATTATTTTTAGTAACCATCTTTAGACTGATTGAATTTTAAAAATTATTTTCCATATTCAGCCTTTCAATTTTACATTCCACTACTCATGGTGCCCGCTTTGCACCTCACTTTTATTTGATTGCAAATTGTGCATCATTGTAGAGCTTTATCTTGTGACTTTGAAATCGTTTGAGATATCGAAATAAAACAAAAACTCAATTGATACCGGCAGTATAGTCGGTGAGATAAAAATAAAATTTTTTTATAGAAACAAAAAAAAAACCGGTTAAATTGACTTTTCTGAATAAAAAAAATTTCATTTCCTAGTATTTATAGATCATTTTAATGAGATCTCAACATTCTTGATGTTTAATATTAATCAACGATTTTAAAATATCATCTAAAATAATAGAATTGGAAAATATTTCAATTATACAAGAAATGAAGATATGA